ACTGGTGTCTCAGGAATAAAGGTAAAGGTAGGTGGAGGTGATTGTACTGTAGGGGAAGAAGGGTTAGAACGTTTAGTCTGTCTACTGCGGGTAGTGCGGTGAGGGAGAGGGGATGGAATTGGGGCTGTAGTTGAGATTGGAGCTGTGGTTGAGATTGGGGTGTCTGGATTTAGAGTGGCAAAAGGATTGGTCTGAGGGAGGTAGAATGTAGAAGTGGAAGTGGGGACATCTTGGGGTGGAGGGGGAGGGGCTGAGCGAACGATGTTACTAGAGTATGGAGTATGAGAGAAACCTTGTCGACGTGCTTCCTGTCTGGCTTCACGTAAAGTGAGACCATTTTTGCATCTGAGAGTTGCTACCTCAGATTCAAACTTGTAAGTGGGACAGCCTCTATAAAATACATTATGGGGGCCGCCGCAGTTAGCACATGTTCGTGTTTGTGATGAGCAGTTTGATCGGCTATGACCAGGTTGGACACATATGGGGCATCGGTCTGTGGAACGGCAGTGTTTGGCAGGATGTCCAAAGCGCCAACAGTTTTGACACTGACGGGGAGGGGGTTGTCCACCGATGTAGATACGTAAGGGAAGGTCATGTGTACGGAAAGTAATTTTGGCAATGTTGGTCGGATTTTTTCGTTGACCTTCAGGAGGAATGGTGTAGCAATGTACTGATTTCACATTTTGGTCTTTGAGGCATCCTAATAAGTCTTCTCCACAGTCTCACCAATCTTTGGTATCGACTGGGCAGTTTGCTGGGGAGAGAGAAACAGTTCCGGTACAAGTATTAAGGGTTGGATGAGGTTCTGCAGGAATGGGGTTGCCAGAATGATCAGTTAAATTTGCTATAGATTCAGTTTCTGATCCGACTGTTACAAGACGGGAGCGATCGCGTCTGGTATAGAAAAGAACTCTGCCCACTTGTTTTTGGAGGCTTTGTTGAAAGAGAAGAGTGTTGCCTGAGTAAGGAGGTGTAAAAGGGATCACGAAAAATCGGTCCCATTTAGCTGGGCTAAACAGAGTATTTAAGATATCTGCAGGGTTGGTGGTGGTGGATGGTCGGGGACGTGTGGAAGAGGGAGTATTACGGAGTGATGGAGAATAAGGCTGTAAGTTAGTAATAAGGGAGGATGGGGTGCTTGATGGAGGTTGTGGGTTAGAGTTGATGAATTTAAGGAAGTTGGGAGAGTAGGAATGTCTTCTGGAGATTGAGTCTCTGCTTGGCATTGAGGAGTGGGTAGTAGTTTGTGTTCGGAGTCGTGGTCAAAGGAGAGCCTGGGGTGGGGCTATTTGATAAAGGGACAAGCCTCACTGCCCGTAATAATGGGATTACATCTTCATCACTGGGCATGGGGAACCTTGACTATATAAAACGGCATAAACGGTCCACCCCCATGCGTCTTGGGGGGTAAGGACTAGACAATTAAATCGGGAGTACCGTACCCATGGTTCCCGCACGCCGTTTAGGACTGGCACAAGGTCAGCCTTTCATCCTCTCAGCATAGCTCTTACACCTTGGGAAGTAGATAGTAGAAGGGGTTAGAGAAGGGACGGAAACAAAAAGCTGGAGGGGGAAAAGACCATGCAAAATTAGTTGAGTCGAGGGCTGAAGCCCTAGGCAGGGAAGATCCCTGTATTGGGTCTCAGTCTTCGTCTCCTAAGCCCCCCACGACAACAACGGGCTAAGGGATTGGGGTGGGTAGAAGGACAGGGACGTGTGTAAGAGGGAGTATTTTTGAAGGGGTAGTATAAGGTCTATATAAGTACTTATATAGATCCTGAGTAGTATTATGGGGAGGTTGAGAATAAGGCAGTAAAGTAGTAATAAGGGAGGATGGGTGATTGATGAAGAAGGTTGTGGGGGTAGAGGTGAAGTGGTGGAAGTTGGGAGAGTAGGAATGTCTCCTGGAGATTGAGTCTCGACTTGGGTGGATAATGTACAGCCAGCAACAAAAGCGGTGACGCCTCGCAAGCCCTAGCTCGGAGAGATCATGCCCTTCTTGCCCTGAAAGGAGGCCCACCTTCAAACAACTAGGCCATAGTTAGGATGGTTCGAATGTGAGGAGGTGGGAAAGTACGGAAATCAGGCGTAGAAGAGCAATAATGACTGAAATATACACGAAGAGAGAGGGATCGCTTTTATTCCTGTTTAGTTGTTGATTTAATGGATATATTGGAAACCTGCCCTAAGAAATAAGTTATCGTATAGTATTTCGAAAAGAATTATCAAGAAATCTTATCGCATCGTTCTATTTCAATTCCTTGTCATGTATTCTATATAAACTTAAACATTGTTGGAACTGACTATTCGTCAGACGGAAATATCCTTCATACATATATGAAGGATGTATATTATTATATGGCTCTGCATTATCTTAAGCAGCTACTCTCTCACTTTCCTCCGTCTTATATCACCTGGATCCGCTATTTAGATCATGGTAAACTTTTAATATGTTATTCGGAAAATAACATACGACATTAATTCATACGCCATTATATTCCCAAATGTTTACAATTATTTCATTACCAAAAATAACGAAATGAATTTGTATAAGACGGATATAAAAAGGAATGGGTTTCTAAAATAGTTTGGAGGGGGAACATCGACAAGGTGTTGGACGCCATCCGCTGAAACGACAAATAAAGGTCTAAGAATTGATAGAGTCAAGGTTAAGGGAATATCCCCTTAGTTTTGGATAGAGTGAAGTTAGACTCGGCCCTTCGCGGGGTGAGTGAGCAAGCGTGAGCCGGGAAAGGGTTTCGCTGGGAAGTGTCCAATCTGCCCAAGTGTAAAGACTGTCACCTAATAATTTGACACCAAAAAAAAATATGTTAATAGTATAAATTTCGCTATACCTGCATCATATATACCCAACCATCATTATATTAACCTACTTACGCCGGGTACAATTTGTAGCCAAAAAAAAAAAAAAAAAAAAAAAATCCGGGCGGCCAAAAAATCGGCGGCCGGAGCTTCCCCGGAGTCTGTCCGCCTGCCCGGCCGCGCGCCGCCGCTGCGTCGGAGCGCAACCCGATACAGCGTCACACTGGCGGGACGCCCGGCAATGTTTATTTTTTCCGGTGTCTCATAAATGTGACACCCGGCACAAGTGGTAATGCACCGTTGCACACATTCACTGCATTTAATTTTACATCATTCATTTTTCACTAACAGTTTCGGAAACATAATAAATTAGGTTGACTGACGATGCATTTTAAATCAATTTGTATCTCAAACCTTATGTTGATATAATAGACAAATACTTTCTATAAGTATGTGAGTGTGTGTGGCGGAGACAAGTGGCCCATCACACTCAAGCTGACCCTAACCAAATCATGCTTCGCAATTCATGAACGCGACTGGAGGTCGTGGTTCGTAGGAGGGACCCAGACGAAATAAATGGAAACAAGGGAATCGATACCTAAACCTTTACAGCCCATTACCCTCGAAGTTTTGCGGCCAAAGCTAATTATTAATGTTTGGTAGTCCAAGAGGCGCTATTTGAGACGATACATTATTCACACCCACAAATATTACACACACTGTGTGTATGTGTGTGTGTGAAAGAGAGAGACGGGGGGGGGGGGGAGTGAGAGGGAGAGAGGGGGTTGGGTTGCGGACGGTAGCCTCGATAAGATGGGACTGAAACAGCCGAACACTCATTCCTTGCTTTGCCTAGAGAATCCAGATCACCTCCTCCTCCCTCCCCCTTTTCTATGTCCAGGTTGTTTGAACGTGGGACACCTTTCAGGGCAAGGGCAAAATCTCTCCAAGCTAGGTCTGGCGAGGCGACATAGCTTTTGTTGTTGGGTGTACTTGTAGGCATTGAGGAGTGGGTAATAGTTGCAGTGTTCATAGTCGTGGTCATAACAGACCCTGGGGTCGGGGAATCAGGAGTTTGAATTGGCGGGGTAAGTCTCATTGCCCTAACAAAGGTATTACGTCTTCATTGTTGTTCATGGGAAGCCTAGACTATATTGGAGAAAGAAACAGTCCACCCCAAAGGGTCCACTTGAGGGTTAAGGGCTAAACAACTAAAACGGGGATACCGTGCCCATGGCTCCCTCAGGCCATTTAGGACTGGCACAAAGTCAGACTTTCATCCTTTCAGCAAGGCTCTGATGTTGCGTTCGGAACTTATAGTCTTGCTAGTCCAGACAACTTGTCCAGGACCAGCAGTATAAGTGGGCCGCGTTCGGAACCTCCAAGACCCTTTCTGCCCAGAATGCAACCGACTCGAATGTAACCATTCACTTCTTTATCATACCGGTGTCTATATTTTACACGCTGCATAGGTTTTGTAACTCCTTTGATGCATATAAAACTTACCTGCAATTAACAAACACAAAAAAATCCTTTGATAACACCAATAAAGGGTAATAAAATTACCCACCAATACCTTGTGGTTACATACAAAATCTATTGTGACGTTATCTCGTCTTGCTCGCCCAGGTTCACAGGAGGACGAGATGGACAATTTGTCCAGGACGAAATAGTAGCGATTCCGAACAGTCAAAACATCTCGTCCAACTGGTCTGGACGAGCAGGACGAGCTGTTCTGAACGCAACATTATACCTTAGGAAGTGTATAGTAGAAGGGACAGAAACGAAAAAAGCATGAGGGAGAATAGACCATGGAGAATTTGTTGAGTCAAAGGCTGAGGCCCAAGGTAGGGGAGATCCTACAACGGGCAAGGGATTTGGGGGTGGGGTGGGGACACTGGGTCAAGTTTCCGTCGCCCCCCCCCCCCCCCACACAGCAACAAAAGTCATGGTTGAAGGGGGTGAGGCCAAGTCTGAATCTGAGACGCATCACTCCAGACTCAAACTTCATTTATAGGTGTAAATAAATATATCCAAATATTCTCTCTCTCTCTCTCTCTCTCTCTATATATATATATACACACACACACACACACATAGTCGTATACACACATACATTTTTGTTTTGTTTTAAGGACATTGAAATAATGGTAATAGGAAGAAATCAATGCCTTCCATTAAATTTATTTCTAATTTTTATTTGCAACTCTGCACATTTAAATTATACATACTTCTGGTTCTCTTCATTTTCAAAAACAAGACCTATCCGCAAGGATATAAATCATGCCTAGGAACATCTAGGAAAATACTCGATCAATATTTGTTTTTTGTCATTACAAAAATATGGTAAATCATCAAAAACAAAAACAAAAACATATATCAGTGATGAAATCTGTCATTCAAGATCACAACTGAACCTTTACACAGTGGAATGCAACAAAATGTTTCTTACATTAAATTTCACTGGGATACATAGATAGAATACAATACCATCGTAAGGTTGCTAAAATTCCAGTCGATTTCTCTAAAAAAAAAATGAGTAACTTCTAGTGTACAATCAACCAAATAAATTACACCATGAATCAAACCCCATGTACACCTTTGGTAACTGTGATGTACTTACGTAGCCTGCATATCTGAACTTACAAGAATGGGTCCCAGCCTATCCAAGATCTTCCAAGGATATTAGGATCTGTCGCTTGTTCAAGAAGGATGTCTACCTGCTGGTGAGTGCTGAGTCCTCGCTCGCCAACGCTGGCTCGGACGGATTCTCCTCGGTCACCTAAGACAGCTTGTTTGAGGTTCTCATAGGCCTTCTGTTTTGCTACAAACTTATTTTGGGAAACTGCCCATAAGGTAATGTAGGCTGGGTTAATGTCACTCAGCTTATCATTCAGTAATTCGATTCGTTTGCTGGAAAACAGCTCTACTTTGCTGTCTTGGGTGTCACCTTCCTGTTTCTGAACAAAATCCAGCCAGTCTTTTGTTGGCTCTTTGACAAAGGCCTCTAAAACTGCTGTCAGTACGTGGCGCGATTCTTGAAGCGCTCCCAAAGCAGAAACCATGATTTCTTTCAGCATTCCAACTTGGCCTATCGGCTGAAATACATTTACAATTTGAGGGCTCAGGCGAAACGGCATCAACTCTGGAACCGGCAGAAACTGCACAGCACTTTCAAAATGATGGCCGAAGTCAATACCAATAACACGACCAGTCTTCAGACTTACGAGGGAATTACTACAGTGACGATCGCCAATGCCCAAAAGCCACTGTGAGATGCATAATGCTGCGTAACTCACTGCAAAGGCACTTCTTAGACTGAAAAAGCCCTCAGTGCTGCTTGACATCCTCACAAGTCCACGGCGTAACACATCCCAAGGGATTTTGTTTACAACTTCTTCATATGCCTTTATAACATCCCGCTTTTTGGCTTTCTTGGCAACAGTATAGTTTTCATTCTTTCCGTAAAGAGCCCTTGCTTCACCATAGCATTTTGTTTCATTTTCTCTATATGAGTCATTTATAAAATCTTTTAAGGGTTGGGTAGAATCGACCCACTGCAAAATGCCCACTCTTAGAGAAAGTGGGATCACCTGATAGGTGTCCAGTGAAGGAACAGATGAAGCTTTGGTGCACAGCGGCGACCTAGCATATATACTGTTCATCAGTGTAAACATCTGCTCCATCCGCTGGTCAGTACGGAGATCTTCTCCCCACTTCACAAGGAACTTGTATTCCTTTTCATCATCACCTCTTATTATAATCCTCATTGGCACACGCATAGATGACATAAGCAGGACATTTTCATCAAAACTAGAAATCTTCACATGATACTCAGGTAAAGGTTTGGACATTCCAGTATACTGTCCAGGCAACTCAAGCACCTCTGAATATTTTGATGCCTGGAAGTTGGCCAGCCAGGGAGAATAGGCCTTCAACTGCCGGGGCAACTTTCTCATCTCTTCCGGAGACAGCTGCAAGACCCTTCCCATCGAGCCAAGTTCCCTCTGAATATCTCTTATTGACAAAGACTTTGCCTTTTTTAGATTTTCACCAAATGCTTTTGTAAAAGCTTCAGCCATTTGTTTCTTTGCTCGGTCTTGCCTGGTATATGCCTCGCCCTTTTCCTCTGCATTTCCTTTCGAAGACCTGTTCTGAACTTTTAAGAACTCACTCACAATCTCACTCAAACCCTCTTCCATCTTTTGTTTGTCTTTCTCTTGCAAAACATTTTGAATTGCATCTTTGCATGCAATGGACGGAACCACCATCAGTGACATTGCTGACACAAACTGATGTAGAAGTTTATGTGAGCTGAGTAAGGCCTCTACCTTGTCACACATGGCTTTAGCAAGTTTTCCTTCATGACTACTGAAGTTGTACTGTTGTTTGCTGATCCCAAAAGGATATATAACTGCCTGAGGGTATTCAGCTGCCAATCGCTCAACCACCGGTTGAAGAGCAGGCCCTGGAACTTTATCCACATATATGAGAATGTGACTCAACCAGAGCAAGAACATCCATATTGGTACCTTCTCATATTCCTCCTTGAAAGATGACAGAAGACTTGCATCCTCATTCATTAAATTTATCAGACGAGGGAAATGAAAATGAGCATCTCGTGACCCATTTGCCATTGCTCGGAGGACTGACACCATAAGGGATTTCGAATACTGTGACACATCCACATGATCTTTCCATTTTATCACACATTCCTCACAGTACTTGACAAGTGCCAAATGAGCATCACTATCTGATTTCTTTGAATCATCTTGATTCAAAGCATCACTTTTCACTAGTTTGCCTTCTGCACAATTCACAGCAAGCTGAAGACTTTTATAACTGCAGCTAAGCAGCTCTCTCTGCCATGATTCTTTTCCATTAGCATTTTCAAATTTCTTGGATAACACTTGCATGTATTGATTATCTTCTGTCCAGTCATCCCCCATATCCTGTATAGCACGGCAAATTTCCAAACAAAGGTGACTTTCTAATTTCAGATACTGTATCTCCACCCTTGGGTTTTGATCTAATATTGACATTGAACTTACCCTGCCTAAATATTTGGCCCATGCCTCCACGAGGTATTTTAGCCGATCAGTTTGCTTTCCTTGACCCCTAAGGATGTGAGTCTCTGCCATCAAGAAATAGAACTGTGCCTTAGAGTACTCATCTTCGGACAGAGAGCTTATCTTCTTCAAGTGTCGATTAGCCAAATGGTAATTGGAATTATGGAGAGCTGCTCTGATCACAAACCTGTGAGTGAAGTTCTTTGTGTCCTTTATAAGGTTTGAAACATCCAAAGAGTCTTCCGGTAATTTTTTCTCCATCAGGTGTAGGTACAAGTCTCGATATGAAGCCAGGCACTGGGTCATGAGTGGATTGTCATCAATACGACATTTCTGTTTCTTCCAACTGGTGACTGTTTGCTTGACTTTCGAAGAGTAAAAGTCTCGGTCAGCATACTTAACATTGTTCAAGCAGTCACTCAGCTCTGTTAGCAGCTGAACATTTTGCAAAGTATCCAATAAAGGATTGGGAGTAAGAACCGAATACTGAGATAATGTTAAAAGGGTCATTGATGTGGCAGTGTTTGCATACACATTTGCCTGTTCAAACTTCTCTTGGTGAGCAGCTAAGACACCTAACTGTAGCGGCAAATCTCCCTCCAGCATGGATCTGTGCCGATGATCTCCCATTGATTGATCGATGAAAGCAATGAGATTTCCATCAGTCTCTGATCCATCCAAGATGTTCATGAGTTTAGAGTGGACTAAGGCTGGGAGGGCAGTCGCGGTTGGTTTGGGAAGGAGCCACACCCGGTTCAGGTCAACTTCCCCATCATCATCTTGCAAGAACCGCTTTTCTACAAAGTTCTCCAATTCTGACCACTGCCCAAGGATGGCTGCACAATTGGAATACCATTCCTCCCAAAGACGATTCTGAAAATATTTTGTTTATCAGTATAAATTGAAGGGACAGAAATCATAAGGCAAAGGCTGAAAGGACAGGAAAAAGAGGAAAAGCAGTAAAGCCTTTAATGCAAATCAGACACAAAGAGAATGCAAATTTGGTGCAGTCACATGCTGATGGCCTAGCTTTTAAGCAAATAAAAGGGAGAAAGAGTCCTGATAAATGAGTACTAAAAAACTTAAAACACAGAAAGAGACAATGGGAATGAATATCTCAATATATCCAATATTTATGGAGATGGAAGAACATGAAAGAAGGGTGGAAAGAGAGAGCCTTACTTCCGCTGCCAGAGGTTCCTCTTCCCAGTCAGTAGTGTCTAGGGACTGACGATAGAGAAGGAATGCCTTCACATGGTTATTTGTCGCCTCTGCCTCAAGTGCCTTCTGTGTTTCCTCTTTTATGGCTCCTAGTTTTCCTTGGACGACTCCTCTAACCACATCCCACATGTTGAGGTTCTTGTACATTCTAAAGAGAAAAGTGAAAATGTATAATCACAACATTTTTGGGGAATTTGTTTGTAAACTAATTTTGCTTACTCTCTAACTCTGCCACCAAAAGATGATCTATCTTCTGCATTCACTGTAAGCTCCAATCCAAATCTAATTATTCCAATAAACCAAAATGTAGGAAATCAAGAAACTTACTCAGCAATGCTAAGCCAAAGGGAATCATCCTGTGACAAGGCTTCTGCATCTTTGCGCATCTTCTTGCGAGCTGGGTGTGGCTCCTCTCCTCGCTTGGAGAGTAAAGCCTGCCTCTCCAGCACCAGGATGCCTAATGCCTCCAGGCGACTTCCCAAACAAGCTGTTATAAGAAAGTGTTATGCTCTTAAATGCTCTTAACTAACATGATGCTCATTAAGATGAGATTATGATACTGTCAGCATAATGGTCTATTTACTCACTGTAAAAAAAATCTTTTTTTTTTTTACAGAACAGGAAAAGAATTTATGGGTAGGTATTCAAGATAGATGAACACAGATTGTACTTCATAGACCTAGATGCTGTTCTACTTCTTCCTGGTTGTATATCATTTTCAGGAGAACATAAACGAGCCTTTTACTTTCTTTTCTGCCAAATTAAGATGTGGCAAGCCAAAATCTAAGAGATTATTAATGTCACCACTACTGTCATAACTTACTAACAACACAATTGTCAATGGATTTATGGAAAATGGATTATATTATGAAAATAGAAAAGGTATATTTTTTAGAAATATATACATGTTTTTGGATTAAAGAAAGAAAGAAAGAAGATAGAAAGAACGAAAAAAAAAAAAAAAAAAAAACTAAAAGGGAAGAAAACAGCCAATAGAAAACAATTAACATATTCTGGACATTACAGGTTAACAAACTCTTTATAATTGATAATAGTATCCATGTCTGACTGCTGCCTCATGATCGTTAGTAAACGTAATCAATTACTCATTGCTTGAAAACAGTACTTTTCAGTTCCAAGACTCAGATAATTAGAGAAATGAACCACAGAAACTGTGACACACAGACACAGACACAGACATACACAGACACACACACACACAAAAGTGACCAAGCTCCTCATCTCTCACAGTGGAAGACTTAAAACAATGCCTGTTTACCTGCTGTTAGTGACTCAGGGTTGGTTCTAACATCATTGTTGATCATCAAATGCAACACTGTCCTTAGCATTTGTGGGCAACACATGTAACTGCTACTAAGGATGCCGTTAAGGGCTTCGTGCAACTCCTGGTTCCACTCTTGCTCTTCTCTGTGGTGCATAGCAGTCCCTGCACTATTTATCACACCCTGTGCAAGAACTTCAAACAGCAAACGAGCCACCTTTTCATCACGCTGCACAAAGAAAACAAACTATCAGGAAAAGAGCCTCTAACTCAGGCATTATACAAGTAAAATTATCAAATAGAAATCTGAGTATTCTGCCATCAAATACCGAAACAGCTGTCAAAGTCAACTGTATAACTAAGTTTAATTTCATTTGTTACAAGAGATATTCTTTGCTGTGACATGTTGTCTGTTTATTTGCTTAATTACCCTGTGTGTAAGGAATGGCCTTGGTTACCATCCACTGGCAGCATGCAGGATCGAACGCAGGTCAACAAAATTGCTAGACATGATCGATACTGCTGCGTTACACAACACACAATTATTTTCAGTAATGAAAATAAAAGGCTGAACTACTTAATCTTGCAATGTATGATAACTTACTTATAGATAACAACAAACCTGAGAGAGTGCTTGCAAGGGTCCAATCAAAGCCCGATGAGGAATCTGAACATCTGGAAGTTCACCAACACGATACTGCCTGTACATTGTTACCTGGTAGAAAAAAAAAAAGGAAAATTCAAACCTCCCAAATCTCATCCTCTTTTAACAATACTAACTCTAGGAAATTCATTTGCTCACCTGTATGAAATTACACCAAAATATTAATAAGCTAAGAGACTTTAGAGGTTAGGTTGCTCCTAAGAGCAAAAGTATATAAATACCATCTTAAAGCTCCTGGATACGAGTAGAGCAAATAAAAGGTAGCTATTTCAAAATTATCCACATGATGGTGAAGGGAACGGTCAGGTAAAAAATTAAGTTTAATCAATCAACACAACAGGGGAAGTTTGAATTTCTGAAATATATAAAATGGCTTAATTAATCGACACATCCACATACCTGGGCCTCTCTTCTGAACTTCCTCTCCTTCTCTAGCTTCTCTCTTAGCTTACTGCGTCTTTCTTCTATTTTGGCAAAGTAAATGGACTGTTTTTCCCTGTCTTGGTTCTTAACAAATCTTCTCCTTATCAACTTTGACTGCATAGTATCAGCTGCATCTGTATAAAACAGAAACATACATACATAGATAAAAAGAAAGCTAAACAAAAGCAATCTTGATTTGTCTGTCAAAATTTTCACCTCAGACATATATAACAAAAGGAAATAGTCCACCAGCATACTAAGATCTTAGGAATCTTAATCTCAAAAAGGTAATATACCCAATGCACCATGTAGAGTGAGTGACTAATTTCTTACTTTTCTGGGTATTTTGTTTCATTTCCTATATTCATTTACAAATCCTCTTAATTCTTACCATTGCCATCGGGTTCATCTGCGGGTCTCATTCTGGAGTTCCCAATCCCTGGACGCTTGAAACGCCTCCTGTCTTTCTGACCTGCGGATAAGATGTCACAAAACTGAGGTCTTTGTAGATATAGCATAAAATTTTTAAAATAAATATATAGAAGTACTTACAATTACATTTATCTTGTTATTATCATCATTTCTTGCACATGTGCCTTTATTATTTCATCCATTACAAAACATTTTCAAAACTTTACATACCTCAAGAAATAAGAACTAACCTGAAGCTCCAACATTAAAAATGAGTCCAGATGTGGAGCCCTGCGTGGGAGCATGAGTGGCTTCATACTCCATGTCAGCCAATGTTGTGTCGAAAGTTGAATCCGTGACCCAGTTGTAAGTGGCACCTGTAGACAGTACAATATTACAGTACTCTATTTACCTGTGTTACAAAAGGATTCAAATAAGGATTAAAAGTATTAAGAGTCAGTGTTGCTTTGTTTATCTGTCATTGTATGTTGGTCACAGCAAGTTTTCTGGAGAGTTTAATCATACTGACATTTAGATGATTTTTTTAGCAGCTCTAGTTATGTAAGTGGATAATATGGAGTGTAAATTGACAATAAAAAAATTAATCAACCATATATGTATAATCAAATCACTAAGATTTATTTAAGGCAAAATTAATAATTCACATCTCACAACTTAGATTGCTATATAATCAAACCTGCTGTCAGACATACAAAACAGTTTACCAACATTCCATACATCTTTGATAAACCAATACTGTACACCATATTCCCTGACATATCATCAGAGGGAATAATACACAAAACACAGACAACCATACTATACATCTTCCAACTTGATATATTACCAGGTGCTTGAGTGGCAGAAAAAACATTTGCCTGCGTTGCCTGCACACCGGCTGGACCATCAGTTTCCATATTTGTATCGCTCCCTTGTGTGTAGGACAGAAGGGAGTTTAAAGAAGTGTCATTGCTAGCCTGAGTCTCTGCAAACATTGGGATCATGGACGCATGCCGGGCACGCCATGCTGTGCTCACTTTCATTTCCTGTTTGGATGGGTGCAGACATTGATCTATTACTCCATACATAGTTAGCAATATAATACTTGCATGAAGGATTATCATCTAAAAGAGAGTGGTAACACTGTTAAATATAACAATTCCAAATTTTCATATCTGAAATAATGATAATGATAATGATGATATCATTAACAATGAAAACATCTATGACCTTTCTTAGATATTCATTTCCATAGTCAGAAATACTTACCCTAAATTTACACTCAGTCAGTGGTTGGTCAAATATATTCCTCTGGTAATCTGCTGAGTGCCTTGTCGCTTCCAAGAGAACATAAATAGCCATCTGCAAGAATGAGTCCTCACTCTCTGGGCTGTACATTTTTCTTAGGATGTGAAGGAGGCATTGAGTTAAGGTCATACTTCGTGCACCTGAAAATTGCATCTTTGATTAAGAAATCATGCCATTACATCATCAAATCTGTATCCATATTAACTGCAAAACAATACATACTTTGGTGGATCAAGGCTCATTCACGGACAATTGTAATGAAAAAATAAAGTTACAAAAGTGTAAATTCTCAGACAACATAAATTACACTCATATTTTTTTTTATTTCTGACTGCAAACACTGGAGAGAAAATGAATGTAACTCAAACAAATGGAACAAGAAATTCAACAAAAGAAAACTAATGAAAGTTATCTAAAGTGTATTTTCAATATTCATTTAGAAATACAATAATATTATAAGTACAAGTAGAAAGAAAATATACAGAGCACATGTAAAGCATTACCTTGCAGCCAGAAGTTGAGAACAATCTGCCGGAGAGCAGCGTCCTCCTCCTTGACTGCCCTAAGCAACACTCCACGAGCTTGGGATTCCAGCTGATGCCCATCTTCAGTATCATTGTTACTAGAAGGGGAAATACTCTTCAATGGATATGATCTTCCATAATACTTTTTAAGGTTTCTTAACTTGTTGACACAGGGATATCATATACATACAAGGCGTATTTCATTCAAATTTAGTCTATTAACTTTGTATACTCATAGGTGGCTCCATGAGAGTTTAGTCACCAAGGAATGAATTCCTAGTGCTATCTGATCTCATCTGTTTACCCTTTCCTTAACTATGTGAATAATAATAATGATGATGATGACTGATAATAATAATAACAGCAAAGATACTAATAAGTTACACTTGTACCTGAATTAACAAAATCTTGTAGCTAACCATATAATGGTCCTATCTTCATAACAGTTATAATTCAGAAACCTTCTGGGCTCTATATCTGGGGTTCCTTTTAGTTGTTTCCCTAACACTCCCTTCTATGTTAGTGATGAAAATTATCATACACTTAATAAGATAAAATATCATCAAGAAATTTCATGTATATTCTGATTTTTTATTCATATCTTCATATTTCAGACTTCAGATTCTACACAGTCAGCGATTCTCAGTGGTCACTTGAACTCAATAGTTTCAAGGTACTGCCTTTTATTAAGTCTGTTAACTAAGACAAATCTCCCTCTTGTATATAGTGCAAAGGAAATTCGGTTTAGTGTAGCAACCAAAATAATATTTGAAGTTCTAAACAAAATATTTCTAACATACATATTTACCTTAAAAAAGTTACTTTGAGTAAAGAAACTCTTTGGTCATTTGCTGCTTTCAGACATCTCATTTCCTAAATTTTCCCTGTCATGCAAATCCATCCTTCACAAAGTTATTTTTTCTCTTGTACAAAACACTATTGTTTATAGCCTGCCAGAGGATTTTCCCCACACAAGTAATAAGTTTGTAACCAGAATTAAATTCTTTACAAGCCCTCAATTATGTTCATATCTTAATACCTAGTTAATTACATGTATAACCACAGTGATTTGTAGTGAGCCTCTGCTGACCAAGGTTTTCATGTGTCAGGCCACAACACAGCCTTGGCAACATAGGATTTTTTCCCTTAAAGCTGAGTTAAGATCACACATATCTGCTCATTAGAGCAGTTAGTTGCTTTTTTTTTTTGCAAAGATTTCAGCTGTTGAAGTTTGCTACATCACTCTCCTCACTGTAGAACCTAACTTTCAGAAAGGGTTATATAATTTTCAGCATATTTACAATCAATCTAACCATAATATTAGTTATCTTGCTATTTCTACTCTGACAATGATGATAACATAAGGAAAAAGGAAAAAGAAAAGAAGAATGATAATAAGAAGAAACAAATCTGAAATCAGAAATCCTTTGCCGATAAGATCATGAAACCATGACTTTGATGTCTGAAATCTGAAGTACCCAGTTCAAGCACAAGAGTTCATATATGCACACTTCCATCCCACAGAAGCTCATCAATCTTCTGTATATTTAAAACAAAGAAAAACTCACCTGAAATTGTCATAGACCCAAAACAGGACATCATACATTGTTTCTCGACAACTAGGAGCTGGGTGAGATGCAAAAGCTACCACTCCTGGCATAAAGTACAATAACTGTGAGGGTGTGAGTCGTGGCATGACAGCATTCACTAACTGAAGGGCCACTAGCTGCGTTGATGCTTCTCTGCAATGATCAATTATAAATCACTGATTAATTACAATATAATTCAATTCATACCTTTTAAATACCAAACAACACCATCCAAAACATTCTAAATAATAATTGAAAGATAATTACAAGGACTACTCATATAATTATTTAAAATTAAATGTTTTTTTTCTCTCTATTAAAGACCTTCTACCTGTACTTTGGATCTTTAATAGGTAAACAGTAAATGATGACTTATTTCTCAGCCACAAAGCCAAGAGGTAAAATCTGATGTTAAAGACTATCATTCCTTACTTAAAAAAATATATATGTATATACTAATATTAAATACTTTACATATGACATGTATAAAAGGCGAGCTAGGAGATGAATGACTATTGTAAAGACAACTTTAGAATAATGACAACGATAAAAACAAATACTGTAATAATCATATCAATAAATAAAAGAAAGAAGAACCATGATTTGAAAAATAAATGTAGAATGATAAAATACTTACTTTTTTGCCAGAATATCAAGGAGATTCTGTTCTTTGAGATGAAGGTAAATATCCTCCATGGTAGCAGAATGGGCAATAAGGCATTCCAGGACGTTTTTGCGATGTATGCCATATAATTTGGGTAGCAGATTCAGGAGTTTGTTGATCAATCTGTAAACAGGATTAGCATACAGATATAGATAAAGGTATAGAGATAAATGAGGATACAGCTTATTAAAGAATTTAGGCACTGAACACTCGTGAAAACAAGAAAGGCGTTCATGGCAAAGAACTTGGGAATAAATATATCCCATCATGAAGAACTGAACTCACCTCTTGACAAAAGAAGGGTAATGTTTATGGATGTTGTAGATACATGTCAGCCCCTGCCCTTGCATCTTGACTGTCAATTCAGTTACCCTCTTAACCACTGCATCCTCCAGTGCCTCCACTGATCCTAACAGGAGAAGATTCATGCTTTGAATCCATACTGTCAATTTACACATTAACTCTATCCCAAAAGTTTACAAATAATGACAGAAAATTCACATTCACTGAAATCACAAATTCTTCATTTCTCAAAAGTAGGTCAAATTAATTAAACCCAATGCAAAACAATACTGACATGAAGAGCAACTGATTAATTATGTTTATACGTCTGAAACATACTAATTTTCCAAGTAATAAAAATCTGAATACAAAAAGACTTTTTTCAGAAAAAAAAGAAGGTAACTCCCATATCAGTATCTAATCTTGATATTACTGAGAATTGATTCTTGCATAAAGGGTCTCTTTCTGAGATCACTAAGCCTCATACTTCAAATTTATCTGAGCCCTTTCTATGTTCAGTTGTGGTACATCTACATTTTCTAATTGAACCTAGTCCCATAAGTAGCCCTTACCATCTTTCTGAGACGTATATTTAAGGATAAGGCCCATAACTTCAGCAGCAGCTCCATACACACTGGCATAGTGTGCACCTAGAAGCCTGATCACAAGAGATTCACATCTAGCACATAATGAGGGGGAGAAACAGAGAAAATAAATGTTAGAAAGTAACTGCACATACATTTAAAATCACAAAGAACTAAAAATCATTAAGAAAATCAATGAGCGGATGGGCAAAGGCAAATATGAAAAAGAAAGCAGTTTCCTAACACAGCAAAAAGTAATATTCAAATGAAAGAACAGATAATTCTAACCATGGACTCATGAACATACTGGAGTAAGCACTGCCATCACTGGAACATTTTACAATCAGCATATATGCTACTATTCACATCACTAGTAAGACTTGTTGGTGAAAATCAGAAGTCTACAATGCACCCCAGTGATCTATCTGCAGTATATAAATTATTTCTATGATTAAGATCACTGGCATCTGTGAAAGTGTATCTAACAATTACGATGCAAAACAAGCTGTACAAACTCCAATTATGCTAACTTGGATGGCAACTGTCTATCATCATTATTATAAATTTTTATGATCTGTAATATTTTATCACTTTACATAAAGTTCTCAACTGCATAACAATAAAGTTTGAATCATTGCAGTGCCAGTGACCACAGCAAGAAAGGCATAAAATCAACACTTAAAGATACAGTTTATTACTAAAGTTCAATAAATCATTTCAAGCATACATAACCCTAGGGATAAGTCAGCACCTAGAACCAACAAGTGAAATTTCCTGCGTAATAAGCAATTACTTTACCTTTTCTTCTCAGTTTCGGAATCAACTGTGTAAGGCGGGAGTCCATTTGCCAAGATGATTCCCAGAAGCTGTAAACCAGCCTCAACTTCCCTCTCAGCTCCATCTTTAACTTCCATCAGGGAATAAATAACTGTGTATGGTACTGTCAACAGACTCTTCCAACATTCAACCACTGACCTGAAGGAAGAGAACATACAAATGTCATTTTTAATACGCAATTAATTTCATCAGCAACATCACTGCTACTCCTATTTCTGGCAAAGAAAAAAGAAAAAGAAAGGAAAAAAAAAAGCAAAGAAAAGAAAACAAACATCATGCTCAATGTAGAGCACAGTTACATCAAAAGGATACATTAAACTGTGGTTTTAAACAAAATTAAACACCTTATCAAATAGTAAAAACAAAGTGAATGATCAGAACCTCTCCCCATCCCCTACCTCAAAGAATATTCACCATTACATATACACAAACAAAGCCTAAAATCACAAAACACAACATACCTTACAACATCGAGATTATACTTGAAAATATCTGCTCTAGTCTGTGGAGTGTTCATGCAAAGGTACCGCAGGACACGACCAACAATATTCCTTCCCATTACAGTATCCTGTGGCACAGCTTTGGAACCCCATCCCATCACCATCACCATCTGTAAAACACAGAACTTTCCTTTTACAAACACAAATGATAACACTCAGTCACTACATAACATAAATATCATATAGAGTTAGACATATTCATAATGAATGTTTCTTTTCTTTACTATAATCCTCCTTCTCCATTTCAAAATTTAAAAATAAAGACTTAGAGATGAAAAAATGCCAAATCAAATGAAGCTAAAAATAAATAAACAAACAAATAAAACAACTGACATAAAACTTACCACATCACAGAAGAAATAATTAATCTTATCTCCTATGGTTCCATCTACCAGGCACGTGAGGATGGTAGATACAAAATGGGCAGCATAAGGTTCAAAAATCCTTGCATTGTTCATCATGACACGGAGAAGGAAAAGTTTTACATTTCTGGGAGTATCAGCACTGTCAAGCTTCTGTTGTACTAGGGTCATCCACTGGGGTACATCTGTTGCCTTGGGCACTGTGTCCTGCAAGATTATTTCACCAAAATATAAGCATGTGCCTGAGGAGAGAAGAGTAGCCATAAAAGAATATTAATCAGATTTACATTACACTCCATGAAAAGAAGAAAAGGAAAACAGAAAAATAAAGAGAGGTAAAAAGAAAGCAGAGAAAATAAAAGAAAAAAGGATGAAGAGAAAGAGAATTGATTGAGATAGAAGCAACAATTCCAAAGATGTAAAGAGGAGAAAAGAAAGATCAAAGAGGAACAGTAAATAGAACAAAAGACAATTGGCTTACCCCTTTATGTAAAACCATGATCTCTGCATCCACCATGTGGTTTATAACAGCTGTCAAGTTTGCCATGACCTCATGGCCATTATAGTCACTTTGGTCCATGTGTACAGGCATGAGCACACCTCCCATTTCATTTGCACCAGTCACTCTAACAGAAGTTGAAAAAAATATGGTCTCAGTAACTGGCAAACACAATATGGAAACTGTAAGTAATCATTTTCATTATGCAGTTACATTAACATTCACTTTTTTTTATGAAACAAACCTTCATACAGTAAAAATGATTATCTCACCTTTCTGAAGACTTTTCTGTCTGAGACATTGCAAGGACGACAGAGTTGTTGAAGTCAAACTGGCTCATATCTTCTCGTAAACTGCTGTCAGATAAGTAGTGTGATGCCATGTACTGTACTGTCCCTGCAACTACAGCCCCTTCTTCACGGGCAGTCTCTCTCAATTTCTGTCTTACTGCAACAAATCTTTTCTTGCTTGCTGGCTTGAAGTTTATCTCAACATCAAATTCCAAGTTCCTACTGCAGTCAACCAAACATTCCCAGATGACTTCTCCCTTAGTAGGATTTGCAGAAAATAGGAAATTGGTATAAAACCTCAGATCATTCTGGACACATGCCAGAACTGCTATAATAGCATTGTATGCTGCACAAGCACACAATCTTCTTAGTTCAGCATGTGTCTGATCATGACGGAGTTCACCTTTGGAGATCTTTGCAGCATAACGAAAAATTTCCTTTGTTAGCTCCTTTCCTGACTGGTCACCAGGACGAAAAGCTGCATTAATCTCTGAACCAGGGGCAAATAGCTTCTCACGCGGCAACTTGGAATACATAATCTGAAACAAAACAGAGCATAACATACTATATTGTAGATCTACTATTAAAGAATACATTCTCCAATATCAAGGTTACTGTATGAAAAATAAATTCTACATCACTTCTAAAACACATACTTATCTCTTCATACAGTTTTAACATTATTCATTCAAGAATTTTGCAATCAAGAAATCAGGCTCATCTTGTGGTGAATATACAATGAATGATAAAAACTGAAAGTGGCAAAAAGGATTTTGCACTAGTCTAATCAAGGCAAGAAATTTTGATAAATGATTCTGAAATCCCCTCACCTCATCTACAGAAATTCATAATAGAGATAATGAGATAAATAGTTACATAAACTGAAAAACTTCAAAATCACATCTGATATCTTTTAAATTTTGGGAAAAGTTTGTCATGAATTGTTACTTCTGGAGATGAAAGATGACCCATAACATTCAGAAATGTTCTGGGGACTGAGCTATCATCTTACTTTTCCTTTTTCTGCAAAAAAGATAAGACACAAAATACAGTTTTCCAGTTTTATAAAAGCTAAAACAGGAGCTCAGTTCCCATACTCACCCTTAATAAAATAAGACCACTCTTAACATCATGGGTGTAATATTCCAACACTGTCAGTTATCACCAGGTAACCAAACATATCACCATCCCCCCCTCCCCCAACCAAATTCTTTGCATATTTTTTTTTCCTTGCTCAAGAACTACATATTTCCATCTGGTATGAGTAAGGGATAAAGATCAGAAATTGATACTCCCACATAACTGAAAATAAAGAAAAAGGGTTTCCTTTCCATTGGACATCAGAAAATGGTCCATAACAACTACTAACTTCAAAACCTTATGCTTCTTCACCAATATAAAAGATATAGGTACAAAAATTTAGGAATCCACAATGAATAAACCACCAACCTGCAAAATCATGAAGCTTCCAACTTTTGTCACCAGAGTTTTGTGTTGTTCGTCAGATCGTCCATGTACTGGGGCTGACATACCAGCCATGACAGCACTAATCACAGTTAATAAGAAATTCTGTGTTGGTACTGCTTCAGCTTGCTGGAGAAGTGGAGTTAAAACCAGATCCATTATGTTGTACCTGTCAGGAAGAAAAATTCATGTATTAAGGACTTACATACAAAAATCTCCTATTAGTTTGTATCGTCATGTACCCCTTCCCCAAATCTCTTTTCATTGACAACACTTCTCATCTTCACTTCAATAAAAGTGAGAAAGGCTTAAGGATTAAGCTACAACAAAAGAATTAAGCTAAACACAAGGAAGGCACTCCCACATTAGCTGATAATAGAACTAAATAGGCTAATAATGCTAACCACACATTCACCAAAAGTGAAATGCAGGATTCAACATACCTTAGATTTTGCTTTATACAAGTAGGATCATTATACATATCATAAATATGCTTCAGAGTTTCCTGCTGTTTGAGCAATGGCAGTTTTTTCATAAATTTCTCCAAGGACTCGTGCATTACCTCTTCATATCGGTGTTTATCCTCTCGACAGAAGAGACTGAAAACAAAATCCTCATTATAGTGCATCTTTTCATAAATATATAATCATTGGTATACATCCAATAATTGACACTGATACTGCTGGCCAATATAAATTTTTCTTCAGCATATACATCTAGTACATTAGAACACTTGATGTAAATCAGAATCAGAATAAAATCAGAAGCATAAACATCAATAAATAATCCTGTTACAAAAAGTTTGTTAAAACATTCTAGTGCCATACCCTTTCTTTCAAATTGAACAACAAAAGTGTACAAATAGCATATAACCCTCTTCAACTTCACATAAAAAACTTACTTGACAACAAATTGGAGAAGTATGGGAGAAAGTGACAATTCTAGAGCAGTTAAAATCTCACAGATTGCTTGGTGATATTCGCGATCTCGGGCACCTCCTTCAGAAAATTCCGTTGAATGAAGAGGAAAGTGGTTCAAGCTCAGCATTTCCAAGGCTTCACTACAAGAACAAATATATGGATATGCATATGAAATTCAAAATCTGTCATTTACATAATATTTCATCTTAATATCATGTACAATGAATACCAAGCATACAATTATGAATGAATAATTTTCAGTACTTTTGCTAAATATGTAATTTGAAAGGCCTCTATGATTCTATGAAGATTAATAAATCAAAACCATAGTGGACAGTCCATATATCAAAATATACTGAGTTAAACTAGCTATCTGTCCAGAAACATGAAGAAAAATTCAGCATTATTAGAAACTGCAGGAGAATCTTTACCTGACAGACTTTGCAATGTCTTCTCCCATTGTGAAGAAAAAGGGGAGCAGCTTCAGAACTTTTATCTTGGCCTGAAGTTCTACCTTTGCATCTGCCAGGAGACCATTGTAAAATACAACCATATCGGACCTTGAACTTGTGCAGTGGCTTTTTATGGTGCCCTCACGATCAATCAGAAAGAGGGATGATAACAGACTAAGAACTGAATCTTGGTGAAGGCTTGTCTTGCCAGCCTGAGCAGCAAGTGTTGGCCAATGCTTCAGGAAACTTTGGACAACTTTGACTGAATACCTATAGAGTATAAAGACATAAATTAGAAATCTATAAGGCCAACAAATGTAAATAAGATGATGGTCCTGACTTACTATACTTGTAAGTATAGCAATGAACCCTATAATAAAATAATTCATTGTAAAAGGAAACCTCATTGGAAGAGAATATAACATTTAACAAGCTCCAAGCAGGGACTGCCAATGTCTTTAATTTCAGATATAATAAAAATATCAGAAATTTACTTTGTACAAATTATATAAATCATGTAAACTCTAACAAAAAATAAAAAGGACACTTTACTTTTTCCTAATGTCAGCATTCCTAATGAGACAGGTGAGGAGAGCAGAAGCAAAGCCCATGGCAGGCAGAAACCGTCCTTCACGAATCATTTCAACACACCGAGACAAAGCATCATCAGGGGATTCAAGGAACTGGGGAATCAACTTTGGTCCAAGAATACTGAGTACATGGGATCCCTTTTCAACCTCTTGCCCACTAGTTCCACTCACAGTGTCACTGTTGGTGGCCCAGCTAAGAAGGTGATGCTTCACCTGAAGGGGGAGAGGGCCAATCATGGAACAATAGGATCTTCTAACAGGATGTCATCTATTCATAACTTTTGACATGTCAAAGAAAGAGGAACAAGGAGCACTGTTCAACCTCATGAGCGTGTATGAGTTATTACTTATATTTTCGGTCCAACAGACTTAAATGGACTAAGAGTACATGAATGAACACTGAGAAAAATTAGGATTATTCTCCTATATTTGCATCTCATCCTTATCTTTAAGCTCTAGCTCTACTTTATACCCTAAGTTCTATAGCAATTTCTGCTTGTAACTCACCTTTGGATCAAGCGTAATGGCCAACTGCATTACAGTATATAAAAACTTCAGTAGGCTTGGATGGGGAGATATACCAGACACACTCAAATTCTGCTCCTTGAATATACTCCCACACAACCAGTCTACTAATTCCTTGGCTACTGAGTAACTGACCTGAAAGTGAAGCACAGTTCCTTTATAACAGAATAAAGTTGGTCACAAGGTTTCTTTCACTAGCACATATAGAAATAGAAAACTGTCTCAACATTGGTAGGACTGATTAATAAGTCATGTAATCAGAATTGCAAAAAGATTCCAAACTACTTACCACATTGCATTTTGCAAGCCATCCACTTTTTTCCAAGATTCCTATACCTTCAATGACATGTCTGCTTCTGAGGTTGATGTGTGCAGTCTCAGATAATGACAGTGGTAACATCTTAATTATATCATTCTCTGGCTTCTGTAGTTGCTTTTCCAGGTAGTCAGAGTATTCCCCAATCACTTCAGAGGGTCCTCTACGGGCCAGAATTCCCAAGATTTCCTCTAGACGTGATGGCAAATGCTTACTGACTTCCGTGTCTTTGATATCAAACCCAACACTAGCAGGGTCAAGAGTGCAGCATGTCAAAAGACTGAACATGGTAGCTGACCAGACTGAGTGCTGGCTCAGGAGAGATGCAACCTTGGGTCCCTCTTGTAGTACAACACTCACAAAGTCCAGTAACCTCACTATAACAGTACACTTCAGCTTAGCTGTGGCTTCGGTTTCATAAGGTGTAGCAACTGCATTTTGAAAAGCATCATGATTCTTCATATATTCACTGACAGTAAGGAGAGCCATCTCATTTATAAAATATGTTGTGGCAGAGAAAAGTTGGAGTTCTGAATGATTCAAAAGCTTTGCTGCTGGCACTATTCCTTGGCCTATCAACCAGCAGTAGCCATCAAGTGAAGCTGATAATGCCTGGAAAGACAGAGGAAAAAATCTTTACTGATTCTACATTAAAATCCTAATTTCCTCACTTTTTCCTTCATTACCTACTTAATATCTGAAACACTTCTATTTTGTATCAACAGTTATTTGTAAGTTTTGCTCTCTTAGCTGCCTTTGTCTGTCAAAAGAAATTGTGGAACTAGAAATATCTAACCTGAATTACACCATGGGTGCTTGTCATATGTAAGAATGTGAATCTACATTTCTCAATATATTTCAGCTACTGCATCTTTGTAAGATATCTGTACGGTTTTCTTCAATTTGGAAAGAACAAAATAATAGTGACTTTTTTCCTCCTTTCATTTCATGGAATCTAAATGTGATAATCATACTCTGATTCAAAGTGTCACATTCCACCCCCATGCCTCTTGAGATAAGTAACCCCATCACATAAGCTGATGTCTATATCCTCGATAAGACAGGAATATGAGTCAGCTTCATCTTCCTCTCCCATTTAAAAATGGGAGAGGAATTCAATACCTAAATAATGATAAAGAAAATATCTAATAATTATCACATACCAGCACTATTTTGGTCTTAAAAGAAGAAAATTGTTTAGACCAAAAGGTGTAACAAAACAAAGAAAAAAAAAAAAGAATTACTTGATGACACACAATCCTCCAATCTTACCTCCAAGAATATATTTATATCTTTAAGAGAACTGCCAATGTGCTTAGAAGATGCTGTTGGGTTTTTCACGTAACTGATGCCCATCTTGGCCTCACCTCCACCTTCCAGTATGTCCACAATTTCACTTAA